GAAAAAAAAGATTGCGTTTGTTGCTCGGGGTTATTATTTTGGTGGTTTTGGTAATTGGTTATCTTTTCCCGAGTGAATTTACTTATTCATTATTAACCTCCGAAACCGACAAGGAAAAACCGCTGCAAAAGTTGCAAGTGGCCCTGGAAAAAATTTCTAATGCAGAACCAGACCCTTCCGACCCCGAAAAACTCAAATTAGAAAAGTTAATAATTAAGTCTCAGCAAAAAATTAATAATTTGTTGATGAAAAAAGCAAGGGGAGAAAAATTAACTAAAAAGGAAAAGTTTGAAGAATACTTTGAAGACATTCATTACACAACAATGGAAAAAGAATGAATAAGAAAGTGAGGAGGAAAAGAGAAATCACCAACTTTCTTATTTTGCGGAGAACATTTTAATGAAGAATTAAGTAGGGAAGGAGAACAATGAGGAAGAGAATGACGAAAAGTAGAGAATTATAACATTATTGATTTTGGTGAAAAAGAGAATAATAAACCCGACTTGCTTAAAAAAAAACTACAAGAAATTTGCGAACGGAATGAAGTCAGTCTAAAACACAACTTTTCTCCGATTGTTTGGTTAAAAAATATTGACAAGATTGCTAATTCAGAATTAAAAAACGAATTATTAAAAATTGTTGACCCCGGCAAAAAATCAGACTTAGGAAAGTATGACCAGGAAATAAAAAAAGAAAACCAAACTAAAAATATAAAAAAGACTATTGATTTATCCCGGTTTATTTTGGTTGCTACCACCTTCACTACTAATCCTAAATTATCCCCAGATTTACGAGCCAAACTAAAACATATTGAGCCATTTTTCGATAAATATTTTTGAACTATCTTCTACTCCTCAGTCGGAATGGAAATTATTATTTTTTTTCTACTTATTAGAGCTAGAAGAAAGGAAAAAAAGAAAACCCTAAAACAATTTGATTATTAATAATTTTTGGTGCCTTGTGGAGGACTCGAACCTCCAACCCCCTGATTAAGAGTCAGGTGCTCTAACCATTGAGCTAACAAGGCCGAAAATAAGTATTTATAATTAATTTTAACTTCTATAATTTTTAAAGCCTGACTATTCTCTTCAAAAAATTGCCTAATTTTCTTATCATTTTGCATTTTATAACGAATAATTAAATATTTGTCTTTTTGTTTTATTTCTTGGCTTAACAATTGTTTAATTATTTTTTTTGCAATCATATACAATTTTGCACTTAAAATATTACAATATTATGACAAGAAAATATTTACAAGGCTGATACAACAGCAATGATAGCGCCTATTCCGAAAAAGAAAGACTAAACAAAATAGGAGTAGGAACTTATGATTACTATCATCTACCAGATTTAGAACAAATATTAAGGTGTGAAAATTGAGCCAAAAATAGTAGCAGAATAAGAAACAATATTAGTGACAGAACAAGAGAAGTTTCAAGAAAAAATTGAAGTTTATCCTAAGGATTGGTGTAGGATATCATAAACTGTGAAAATATTTAATTGAAAAAAGCTGATTTATAGGGCATGGTTTTACTCTTTAATTCTTTTTTTGCTTTTTCTAATTCCGATAATTTACAAACTCTTTTTTATAACTTATGGAATTGACATGCTATTGTTTATTAGCCCCTTTTATGTGATTTGTGAACTAATAGCAATAAAGAGCATAGTTTTTTTAGCGGAATATTATTTATTTAAATCAAGATCAGGAGTGGTACACAAAATTGCTTGAATAAGTTTTTTTTTGTTTTGCATCAGCAAGTTGTTGTTCCTCCTTTTTAATTAACCTCATCTTCTCTGCATACAATCCCAATCAATTTAGTTAAAATTTGTATGTTACTAATAACTTTTTTATAATTTTTATGTTTCGTCTTGTAACTAATTTTCAACCAGAAGGAGACCAACCTAGTGCCATTAGGAAACTAGTTGCTGGTATTCACAAAGAGCAAAAAGAACAAGTATTATTAGGAGCAACTGGAACTGGAAAAACTTTTACCATGGCTAATATTATTCAGGAGACCCAAAAACCAACTTTAATTCTAGTTCATAATAAAACACTCGCAATGCAAATTTATCAAGAAATGCAAGGATTTTTTCCTCATAACAAAGTTGAGTATTATGTTTCTTATTTTGATTATTACCAACCGGAAGCCTACAAACCGGCTAGTGATATGTATATTGGCAAAAAAGTTCAGCGAAATGCCAGCATTGCCAAAATGCGCTTAAAAACTCTGAATTCTTTGGTTACTGACAGGCACGTAATTGTAGTGGCCTCCGTGGCCGCCATTTATGGCTGTTTTAACCCCATCTCTTACCGCAAAGTAGTTATTCATTTAGAAGAAGGACAAAAAATAGATAAGAATTTGCTCCGAGAAAAATTACTTCTCTTGGGATATAAGAAAGATAAGAAAATCAGTCCGGGAAGTTATCAAATAAAAGAAGATGAAGTTTGTTTTATGCTGGGTTGGGAGGAAAATTATTACTTTCAGATAAATATTAATGAAGATAAAATCAAAAAAATAGAAAAAAAGGATAAACAAACGAACGAAAAAATAAGAGAATTATCAGAAATTTCTATTCCGCCTAGCCAGGACTATGTAGGCGAAGAAGGGGAAGAATTAGCCAAAATTTTAGTCAGAATTGAAAGAGAATTGACCGAGCAAAAAGAAAATTTCTACCAGGAAGGAAAGTTTTTAGAAGCCGAAAGGTTGGAAAAAAGAGTTCAAGAAGACTTATTTAACCTGCGAGAAATGGGCTTTTGCCCTGGCATTGAAAACTATTCTCGTTATTTTGATGGGAGAAATCCCGATGAGACCCCTTTTGTTTTACTGGACTACTTTCCAGAGAACTTTTTAACTATCATTGACGAATCACACATTACCATTCCCCAAGTAAAAGCCATGTATAATACTGACCGCCGACGCAAAGAAACCCTAGTAAAATATGGCTTTCGCCTACCTTCCGCCTTGGATAATCGACCACTCAGTCAAGAGGAATTTTTTGACAAAATTAATTATTCTCTTTATGTTTCTGCCACTCCTGGCAATTTTGAATTAGAAAAAGTCAATTATCAACCAGTCGAGCAAATTATTCGTCCCACTGGCCTCTTGGACCCACAAATAGAAGTAAGGACCACCCGCAACCAAATTGCTGATATTATGGACGAGATAAGAGAAAAAAGTAGTCGCGGGGAAAAAGTTCTCATTTATGCTCTAACTATTGTCATGTCAGAAGACATTGCTAGCTTTTTGCAAGAGAGAAATATTCGGGTTGTTTATCTCCATAGTCGATTAGAAATTTTTGAGCGATATCAAGCAATTACTAGTTTGCGGCGCGGAGTTTATGATGTAATTGTAGGAATTAACCTGTTAAAAGAAGGAATAGACCTGCCGGAAGTTTCTTTGGTCTGCATTTTGGATGCTGATAAGCCCGGGTTTTTGCGGGACACTCGCTCGCTAATTCAAATAATTGGTCGAGCCTCACGAAATAGAAATGGCAAGGTTATTTTATATGCGGACGGAATTACTAGTAATATGCAAGGCGCTATCGAGGAAACTAATCGTCGACGCCAAATCCAAGAAGCACACAATCTCCATAATAACATTACTCCCCAAACAGTTGAAAAACCAGTCAAGGATATTGTGCTTGATCCCTTAATAGCCCTTTTAGTAGAAAAAGCCCAAAAAGGAGAAATGGCTGAAAAAGAATTAGAAAAATTAGTTAAAGATTTGCGGAGACGAATGAAAAGGTCGACCAAAGAATTCAAGTTTGACCAAGCCATTGCCTTTCGCAATGCCCTTTTGGATTTGGAAAAAGTAGAAGGAGGTAATAACTAATATTCAAAATAATTTCATTCTCGTTTTCTTTTCTGGCGAATAACTTATCAACATTCTTTATGATAAGACAGCAGCGGAAAAAAGTCTTTGCCCCGTTGCTCGGTCAATAGTAAATAAGGTACGATTAATTTTCACTTTTCTTTACCCTTTTCTATATCTTTTTTACAGTAATTACATTTCATAGTACTAATATTTTGTATTATTCGCTTTTTTTTAAAATTACTTTAATAGGTAAATATTCTAGTTCTAAGTTTTTTCGCAAGTAATTAGTCATATATCGTTGATAAGAAAAATGGCCTCATTGCGGATTATTAACAAAAAAAATAAAGTACTGAATTAAGCCCGGTTCTTGCTTAGCAAAGTAGATTTTTAATTTATTTCCCTTAAAACTTTTAGGAGGATTATTAATTAGCATTTTTTCTATGGTTTCTCCCATAATTTTTTTGGAAAGTTTTTTTTGCGATTTTTCGAGCATTTTTTCTAAGACTTTCAACAATGATTTCGTCCCTATTCCTTTTAAAGCTGAAATATAAATTACCGGTGCATAACTGAGTGATTTTAACCGACTTTTTAATTCTTCCTGCAATTCTTTTTTTTCCTCTAACAAATCACATTTGTTAATAATTATGATAAGTGGTTTATTGTGCTTTTCTCCCAAATTAACTATTTGTAAGATTTGTTTGGTCAAGGGTAGAGTAGCATCAATTATCGCTCAGGCTAAGTCACAGTTTCTCCACACACTTTCTTTTAATTTCTGTTCTTTGGTAATGCCGGCGGTGTCAACTAATTGAAAGTCAATTTTTTTCCAATTTCAATTGCTAATCACTGGTTCTTGGGTAGTGCCGGCAATGGGGGTAGCCAGCGAACGGTTTTCTTTTAGCAAATAATTCATGAGAGTAGATTTGCCAGAATTGGGTGGACCAAAAATAAGTAATTTTAATTGATTTTCCTTTTGTTTAGTGTTTTCACCAGAAGAGTGCGGCAAAATAGTAGTTATTTGCTTTACTAATTGGTCAAGGCTATTTCCTTTTAAAGCTGAAATAGTTAAAAAATATTGCGGTCAGAGCGATTGATAATCGTAAAAATCATTTTTGTCTGTTAAATCTGTCTTATTAAATATTAAAATTTGCGGAGCCTTAAATTTTTTTAAATATTTTTTTAATAAAATTTCTTCTTCATTTATTTTATCAATTACTCAGCAGATTAGGTCGCTGGTTTTTAATAAACTCTCTGTTTGTTCCTTAATTCCTTTTTCTATCTCTGTTTTAGGAGAAAAAATAAAAGCGGGGGTGTCAATTAACTTATAAATTTTGTTCTGAGTTTGGATTAAACCTTCTGTGTGGTTAACTATTGGACTAATTTTTATTTTTCCTTTTTCATAATTACCTAACCTAGTTAGTTTCCAAAACAAGGTTGATTTGCCTACCCCTTTGGTTCCAAAAATGGTAATTAGTTTCTTGTTTGAGAGCACAATATTTCTTTATTTAATAAAATTGTATAGGACTTTTGACTAAAATGCATTATTGATTTATTTCTTTTTTCAATTGTGGACTAGTTTTGAAACGGATGCGTTTTTGCGGTAGAATTTTAATTTCCTTTTTTGCCTCTAATTTAGTTTTTTCCTCGGGGGAAAGTTTGGGGGATTTTAATTCTCTCAAAATGCTTGGATTTATTCCTCTTCGCCTTTTGCTTTCCATTATTCCTAAACTAAAATAATTTCGTAAAATAATATTTTCCCCTGCCCTTAAACCTCACTTTATCTCTTCGAGAAATTGACTAATTACTAATTCCGCCTGTTTTTTGTGCCAATGTTCGGTTATCTCATCTATTTTTTTTTCTAGAATTTCCCAATCAATTTTTGCCTTAATTTTTGGTTTTTTTCCTTCTTTGCTAAGAACTATTTTTTTTAATTCCTTTTCGTGAGTTGAGTTGTGTAATTTCACTTGCCTCATAATTTTTCTCCCCAACCTTTTTCCATCATTAGTTTGTCGGCTCTTTTGGATGATTTTGATTAAATCTGTTTTTGTTTTAATGACTTGTGCTGCATTCATTTCGGTTACTTATAATTTGTATACTTTTAGTTAATTTTTTATGATTTTACTTATTCATCATTTTTGTTTTTGGAATTTCCCTTTTTTTCTCCCTCTCGGCAATTCATTCATCAATCCTCTTAATATTATATTCTGCTTCCCAAGTTTTCCCATGAACTTTGTCATGATGAGTTATTACTAACTCAGTGACTTCCTTCTTCCAAAGAAAACTTTGTACATCATTGGATAATTCGCCAGTGGGAGAGGTGAGTAAGTAAGTAATCGCTTTGGAAGAAGAAAAGTTTTCTTGAATTTTTTTTCGCCGATGAATTTGTTGATCTAGTATTCTTTGCTGATAGCGTAGTCCATCGTGAGCCGAGTGGCAAAAACTTTCGCTTCAATTCTTCACTTCGACAAAATAAATTCTTTCGGTGGTTTCCCCATAGATATCAATTTGCAAATCCTCTATTTCTTGCCAGTTTTTGATCAATTTTTCAAATTTTATTTTCTTATTGTTAACTAGAAGTTGTCACACTTCTTCTTCGCCTCTTTCACCAACTATTTCCGCTATTGAACTACCCGAAATTACATGCCGGTTTAGGCCTAAACTAGTTGGTGTTAATTTTAAATCGCTTGGCTGCAATTCAATTAAACTAGGATTTAAATATTTGATGAATCGGGAGCATTCTTCTTGGCAACTAGCAGTTAAATAAAGTTCCTTTTTCGCTCGGGTGACGGCAGTATAGAATAAATTCACTTCTTCTCTAATTCAATAACTTTCTTGCCGTTTGGTTTCACTAGGCAATATTCCGTCATCAACGGCAATGACAAAAACGTAATCAAATTCTAATCCTTTGACTTTGTGAATAGTAGAAAGAATAGTTTTGCCAGTACTTTCCTTTTTCAGTCAATTGTTTGTCAATTTGCCGAATAAATTCATTAATTTCCTCTTCGGTTAAACTTTCTCCAAGTCTCTCCTCATCTAAAAACCTTTCTTGGTCAAACTGCTCAATGATTTTTTGAAAGCGCGGAATGTTTCGCCAATTCATTCCCAAGCCACTCAAAAACTCCTCAATAGAGTGAAACTTATTAAGCAAAAG